AAGACTGCTTCCTGGGACCTCACGGTGTCCGTTACGTCGTGGGTGGACATGGTGTCTTAAAGAGGTGAGTGGGTTAAATGTGTGATAATATAAGAGTTTAAATAGCAAAAATAGTCCTTTTTGTAATCTACGAAACCATAAAGGACCAAGGCCCGGAAGCCGGCAACGTTCTTGGTAAGACAAATGTCCGTGTTCTGGGGTTAAAACTCTCTTGGTGAAAAAGTGTTGAACGGATTCTTTTTGTTCCGCTCAGTAGCACGCATGAGGCTAAATAAAAACGAACCGTATTCCAGACCAGGTCTAACATACATGTTGTAGAGGCGCATTCTAATATCCCTAGTTTTAAAATTTCGGAGGATAAACCCGGTCGTTCTACGTGCTTTGGAGACTATCAAGGCACAGTGCTCAAAAAGATTGAGACTCTTGAGGTATGATACGCCCAGATCGTTAATAACCCAAGGCAAACTTATGGCGTAGCCGTCAATACTCAGTTGAGGTTGGCGGTCGTCGCCAACCACCATGACTGAGCGCTAATGCCAGGAAAGAGAAAAGCGCCATGTGCGGCACCATTCGGCGAAAGCCTGTAGATCGCTCTTTAGGAGCTCAAGCACGATGTCATGATCTGCCGCCTTATATCGATATGTAACTTTAAGATCATCGGCATACGTGAAAGGCTTACCATTCTGGAATAAATCGGGTACATCATTAACGAAAAGGCAAAATAAAAGCGGGCCGTGTACACTACCCTGAATGACTCCACTCCTCACACGTGTGGGGTTGGGGATAGTATTGGAAATCTTAACTCGTTGTGTACGAGAGCCCAAGTAAGAGGATATAAAATTTAAAAGTTTGCCACCTATTCCGAAAGAGGACAATTTCAAGAGAAGAAGAGCATGGTCAACACGATCAAAAGCCTAAGTAAAATCGAAATATACTGTGTAAAGTGCAAAACCATTGTCCCGAGATTGGAGGACATAGTCAAAGATAGAGAGTTGACAGGTGTCACCAACGATATCTGGCACCCCTCTATATGCACTACGACTGCGCAACCTTTGAAAGTGACCACAAAGCAATAATATCAACACTCCCCTTAAACGCAACACTATCACCCCATTTCAGTACCACCCGCCTAAACCCAAAAAAAAACTTGACGAAGACTCCATGGACAACTATATTAGATCGTTGGACTAGAGCCCATATCTTCTTACAACATCCCCTATGGAAGCATTTAACCTATTATACTCTGTCCAATTTGTAATTCGAGATACCTTAATAGACGAAAGACTCCCGTATAAGAAATCACCAATGCCACACTTCCTTTCAACTAAACTAAAAAAGCTACAAAAACAGCTAAGTTATTTTTTCACACTTCGACGAATTAGGGAAATTCACGACGTAGTCACGAAAATAGAAACACAAAAGACCATAGTAGCAGAATATCGGGCACCAGAATCTCCGAACGAACAGCTCAGATGTTCCAGAAACTAATGAGTAATCATCGACAGTCAGGATCAAAAACTATTTCTAATGAATTGGGGCAAGTTATAAACAATGATAACCAAATAGCAAACTTATTCAACAGATACCTCTCAGCTAACTACACAGTCGAAGAGGGAACCATCCCCCAACCGACCGAGATGACTGAACGCATCCTTAGTGAGATCCATTTTAGTGAAGAAACTGTTAAATTAGCCATGAAACAACTATCAAACACCAAATCCTATGGGACAGACAAAATCCCACCATGTATTCTGAAGCATATGACATATGCTCCAATACTCCTATCTAAGTTATTCACCCTACTCCAGTCAAATGCAATTTTTCCGGACATGTGGAAATACTCGACCATTGCACCCATATTTAAAAGCGGCAACCGATGTCATACCCAAAACTATCGTGGTGTTCACCGAACACCGGCTATAGCTAAAATCCTCGAGAAAATAGTATCTAACCAATTGCTAGACCATCTCATGAACCTTAACCTCATTCCCTCCTCTCAACATGCATTTTTACCCAAAAAGTCATGTCAGTCCTGCCACCTTACTTTTTTGGAATTCGTTTCCAGCAATAGAGATGATGGAAACACAATAGCTTCAATATACTCCGATTTAAGAAAGGCATTTGACAAAGTCCCCCATAAAATACTATTGATAAAGCTAAAAAGTCATGCAATTAGGCCACCCCCTCTCGATTTTCTTAAATCCTATCTTTAAAACCGATACCAGGTGGTGCAAATTCGAAACGTAGCCTCAGAACCATCCCCTAATGCCAGTGGAGTACTTCAAGGCACTATCCTAGGCCCCTTATATTTCTTATATATAGTCACGACTTATCGTCCATATCTGTCTCAGCTAAGACGTTTTGTATGCGGACGACCTTTAAAGTGCATATGCATATAACGGGAATACAGTAACCAATATTCATAGAACAATTGAAACTGATCTCAGAAAACTCAGAGAATGGAGTAGTCAGTGGCAGATGCCCTTTTCACCCGAAAAATGTCATCTCCTGATATTTGGCCCACAAAAGCTTCCCCCATAATATTCGAGGATAATGAAATAACAGAGGCCCAATCGGTAAAAGATTTAGGTCTCAGCTATACAAATACCCTTGATTTATCTCCCCGCGTCCAACACATCACCGAAATCCACTCGCCTGTGTGGATTCATATGCGAAAATTTAACATTAAATGCACTTAGAATACAACTTTTCAAAATGTATGTTTTACCTCTCCTAGATTACTGTTCAATTTTCTTCGGCATAATGCCCTCAGACGGCCGAAAGAAACTAGAAGGCATTCAGAGACGGTTTACTAGATCTTTGTCTAGAAGTGATGGCATCCAGGGTTCATACTTAGAACTATATCATAAATACGGTCTTCGACCACTCTGGATCAGAAGACTTCAAAATGGTCTAAACTTCCTATTCAAGGTCACCCACGATCAAGATATTCTCAAAATGAATTTACTTACCAACCAAAACGCCCCTAGAAACACCAGAAATAGCGAGGATATTATAAAGATTCCCAAATTCACAAAGTCCCAACGATCAAATTTCTACACCATAAGATATGCGACTATCTGGAATTCTCTTCCAGGTTATATCCGGAAAAGTCGAACCCTAATCGAATTTAAAATAAAAACTAAGAAATTCCTTTCAAATAACAATACACATTTATTTTTGAATAGGATAGGACATTTTTCAAGTCAATTCTTTGATATTGAATTTGGTCCAAAAGGGCTCTGATGATGCCAGCCGATTGAAAAATACCGGAACATAGCACTAAAAATAATCAAATTTATAAAAGATAGCATCATTGATAAACATAGAACAGTTAATGATATTTTTCTATTTTCCTTCCTTTCTCGCTTTCATCAGCTATGTCACCTGACACTAAATATCCCTTATAAAGCTAATAAAAATATACCCTTCGATAAAACCCTGCATATTAGTCGTACGTATGTATATATTAAAGCCATATTAAACAGGTTATCTCCGGAAAAGTCGAACCCTAATCGAATTTAAAATAAAAACTAAGATATTCCTTTCAAATAACAATACACATTTATTTTTGAATAAGATAGGACATTTTCAAGTCAATTCTTTGATATTGAATTTGGTCCAAAAGGGCTCTGATGATGCCAGCCGATTGAAAAATACCGGAAAATAGCACTAAAAATAATAAAATTTATAAAAGATAGCATCATTGATAAACATAGAACAGATAATGATATTCTTTTTTTCCTCCCTTTCTCGTTTTCATCAGCTATGTCACCTAACACTAAATATCCCTTATAAAGCTAATAAAAATATACCCTTCGATAAAATCCTGCATATTAGTCGTGCGTATGTCTATATTAAAGCCATATTAAACATATATAGAACTATATTAGGTCATAGTAAACAGTCGACCACTACTCCTATAATTTCACATTAACAAGAACAATATGATACATTATTCACTAGTATTTTGACAGTTTTGATTGTGACTTACCATTGAATGCTTCTTCCTCCTGATATATATTCATCTTTTCCAGCTCTTAGTACAGACAACGATGGTAAGCCCCCTAAAAAACACGTAGAATCTGTGCGACTGCCCCCTTACAGCCGGCCAGATAGACTGAAAACCAGCAACTAGAACACACCGAAATTTACCCAACAGGAAAATAATTTCAAGATCAGGCCGATATCACAGTTCTTCAATTGCCATGAAGGACATATTATTCCTGCCCCAAAAAACTACCAAACTGCAAACTCCAATTTTTATATTGTACATATCGTTATTTTTTTAAAACTTTTGTTATTATTTTCCCTTAGAACTGAGGCTTTTTTTAACTTAAAACAAACTCTCAATTCGCGCTCTTTTTGCTAAACAGACACCCGAAACAAATGAAGTCAAAGTGCAGGTGAAATTGATGAGTTTGTTTTGGGTTTTTTCATGAGATCAAACTGGACTGACAGTGCCCAAGGAGCGCTAGAATAAACCTATTCTATTGAACTTTGAGGAATCCATGCTGAGCCGCATTCTGTAGGTTATTCTCCGATAAGTGACACATCATCTTATCTTTGATCAATGTCTGTAAGATCTTTGAAACTGCGGGGAGGGTGTTTATTGCCGAAAGTCATCAAATGACGTGGATTTGCCGTGCTTAGGAATGGACAAGATAAGTGATTCCTTATACAGGGTAGGATAAGCTTCACTATCAAGAGCAAGATTAAATATCTTGCATAAGAGGGACGGGAAAATCGTATTTGCATCGGCTTTTAAAATGCTTACTGGGACACCATCAGGTCCTGGACTATGAGATTGACAAAGATGCCGAATCGCAACAATCACATCCCACAGAGTGAAAGTTATATTTTCTAGGACTGCCCCAGTCAGTGCCTGGACGCTCGGAAGCGGAGTGGTCGAGGTTTAAGTGAACGTTTTGGACAGGAAATCATGGAAGCCATCAGCGGTTAACTGGGCATCAACTATAGGATTTCCGAAGGTGTCTCGGATGGTTGGAATACTGCGTCTTTCTGTGAGTTCGTAGTTTTCTCGAGAAAAGTTTCGGGAAAACCTATGGGGCATTCGTCCGGTCTCACTTAGTGTACGCAGTCCAGGCCTGGCGACCGTGGTTGAAGAAAGATTATCAACGACTGGAAAGGGTACAGGCGATGGCTACGAAGATGGTCAAGAATCTTCATCATCAGCCTTACGAAACCAGGCTGACCGAACTAAATCTGTTTCCTCTAAATTACAGGCAAATGCGCGGCGACCTCATTCAAACCTACAGGATTGTCAGAGGTCGGGAGTTTGCCCTAGACTTAGAGGAATTCCTCGAATTGGCCGGCACTGACCGTCTGCGTGGTCATCCCTTCAAACTGTAGAGGAAGCTGGCCCATTCGGACGTCCGACGGAACGCCTTCTCTCACAGGGTCATTGGGGCATGGAACGGACTCCATGATGCAGTGGTTCATTCCGAAAGTATCGATTCCTTCAAGTGTAGACTTAATGCGCATTTGTTGAGAAACTACTGTTCATACAATAACGATTGTTTTAGGGGCGGCATTTTTCGCATGGCTCACACTTACCGTGAATTTTTAAATTTTCGCATTTGTTGACGTAATTGATCACTTTATTTCTGTTTATCGATATGAATAGGGAGCACATGGGCGAAAGGATCATTCCCTTAATAAACTGACTTGAACTGACACTTAACGAATGCTTTTCGGTAATTTGGATCTCCTCGGCTTGTTGTTTTTCTTCAGACACTATCTTAGCCCGCTGAAAAATATCACGAATCAAGGGCAGGACAGAAACGTCGTTCTGAAGATGGAATCGACGATAAAGTCTGCGCAATCTGCGCCGAAAGGGTAAGAGTAGGAAAACCCAATCATCAACATTAATAATTGTCTTATGGCGGACACATCGTGAAATAAGTGGATCCAAAATTTCGTACAGATTTCCAGCGCAACCATTTACATCAGAACTAAGGCAGTAATCAGTCCAGTCGTACGAATTAAGGTATGTTAATAATTCGGTTGAGCGAGTTGATCGGAGGTCGCGGAAAAAGTTATACTTTGGGAACAACGTTTCGTCAGCCTCGACTCACAAAGTTGAAACAATTATGTCATGGTCTGAGCCCTCAAGTTGGCCAAGGGATGACACTGACGATGGGATGCAGCCTCTACAAAAAATCAGGTCAAGTTTGCTTGATACTCGGGTGGGAAAATCGACCACCTGAGTCCACATTCCAACATCCACAGCCTCAAGAAAGTCTTCGAACCTTCTGGGGCCTGAAGGCGGAGACCAGCGAACATCAGGGAGATTAATGTCGCCCGCAACCAATTGATACTTTAAGCTTGAGTCGGCCGCAGCAAGAAATGCCTGTGAGAGTAAACGATCAAAATTGTTTTTGTCATTGTGAGGGCAATAGACACAACCAACGAGTAAGGAGAAATTATTTTTTGGTGAAACCTGAAGTCAGCTGCTGCCTTCAATTGCGGAAAATTGCGGTAGGTGTGCCGGTCACGGAAAGTCTTACATGGCTGGTCGCATGTAATCGTCCTGTAAAAAGCGATACTTATCAACAATTACATACTCAAGTTCTCTTTGAAACACAAAAATTGTTTTGGTCTACATCAGTTCAGTTGGTAGAGAGTATCGTGGTCGGAATGCCTGTTGGTTGAAAAAAAATTTCCTGCTACATATTGGCGCTCGTTTTCCCTTGTCCTTGCAGGGACGAACGAGTAGGCGAGTTGTCCACGTAAACAAAGGGAGGTCCGGCGTTTTTAGAAAGTTACCATGATCGCAGGTGTTCCGGAACATCCAAGACAGGGCACACCTTAGCTACATGTAAGGTAGAAGGCATGGGTCAAGCTCTATTGGCTTATTCTGATCCGATAGATTCTTATAAAAGTCGACTATCATCCTTGTACTGCATTTTGCCTGTTCGAGGATATCAGTATCGTATTATATCCAGGGTGGCCAGAGTGAAATCACGGAGTTCTAAATTTTTTCCCAACTCTCCCCGTAATTTGTTTAAATACTTCAAATATTCATGAGATTTACCCACCAGTCGCTTGTTCTTTATTGAATACTGGCATCGTCTTGACTGGTTATTAAGTTTATTTTATCTGCAATTCTGCTATAGTTCATAGACATACTGCCGAACAAGTTCTAGGCAAAAATGGAGTCTGAGATGCCATTGAAATTCAATGTTGACTACGAAGGCGACCATCTTGAATGCCAACTTGTAAAGCTGTTTGATCCATATTGAATCCTGCTCTCTATAGCGTCTGCTTGACGAGCTAAAATGTCTTGAGCTGCAGCAAAAAAGAAGTCCAAGACAAATTAAATTTCAGGAGGTTCTTCGGATTGAATTAAAGGAGCATGAGGTATTTTTTGTTCATTTATATATAATGTTTGATAGATTCGATTCAATGGCAGCTGGTGTGTATTCCGATTATCGGAAGACCCACGCAAAACGCATAAACAAAAGGATTTTCTGCGGACGGTGCTCAGTGCAATTCTGAAGTATTGGAGAGAAACGTTCCCAAAGTATAATTATTGGTACGACGTTAAGTTTCTGATCACCTCAAATTTAAAGCGACGACTCGCTCTTAGTAGCAACTGAGGCCATGTATGAATTGATAAAGGAAGAAACGTGTGAATTAAACAAAAACGCATGTTTTCGGGATGCAGAAATGTCGCTTGTCCACCCACTGGATAATTATTTTAAGGAATCAAGATTGAAGAACTTAAACTTTGCTTCATTGGAGAAGGTTTTACTCATTTCACTTTTTAACCAGGGTTAAAGAGTCTTCAGGTCTCAAAAGCAAGCAAGCAAATTAGATACTTGAAATTATCCGTCACATCGAAATCCACGATTGACAACGCTCCGGTCGTGATGCTTGCTGTATCTTCTCTGTCATCATCCACTGTTGTTGACCTTAGCGGGGAAAAAATTGTAAGTTCTCCGACACAAATTCGAAACGACTATAACCGTTGTCCATCTTATTCCTGAGGCTGTCAGACAGTTTTCATTTAAGGACTTCTTATTATTGAACTAAGGGCCTTGTTGTTGTCTTTGTTGATTTATCTCCATTGCAACGTTCCACGTCCTGTTTATCACTGGTGATTACTTCGCGCAGCACTCCCCTTATTTTGATAAACGGACTGGTGCTAGAAGAAAAAATACTGTTAGTTCTGTAATAGTGCTAGGAAAACAATTGTCTTCTTCCCATCTTGTGATAATTTCAATATATTTAGTTTGAATCTGTGATATCTTATTGGCATGTGAACATAGACACATGCGGCAAAATCTGAGCCACCTTCACACTCCACATGCCATCAAAAAACACTTCGTTGCGAAGAAACAAGGAAAATTCGCATCTATGACGAACCGTCTAATTTTGAAATTTTATTTTGGGCAAACCACTGAAATCGTACATTTTGTTGGCGAATTTTGTAAGTGGAATCGGCTGATGCACCGCACTTTTATGGTGGGAACACACACAGAAATGTGGCTTGTCTATGACCGGTTTTTTGCGGACGTTCGCATTTAAGCTGTTCGTTATTCGTCCCTTAGAATAGAGAAAAGTAAAATATCAGACCGCTGCATTTTGACATTTTGAGGCTGAAAACGCTATTGTCGACCCTACGTTTATGTCAAATAAGGGCTGATTTTAAGTAGGACCGCATTTAAAAAAAATTTAAAGTAATTTACCTATTGTGAAATTTATTGTGTATGATTTGTAGGACGAAGACCTTTTAAAAGTTCTCAAAGTTTCGTTCAAAATCAACAAGTCATTTCGAGGTCTGACAATGATCAATCCCCAAGTCGACGGGTTCGTGGCAATTCCTTGTTGCGTGCATTTTTGGAGGGCCGTAACCTTATTTTCGTAACTTATGATGAAGATTACTTATACTATTACGTAGCATGTCGGACTTTTGTCTCCCTTAAACGTCTGGCCCAAGAGTCCGGCGAGTGAATACCACCGGGTAAACCCCAATGTTCTATGCTATCAATCATGCGAATTAGGTGATTTCGTTCTTTCAATATCCATAAAGACATGAACCGCGCGATTGATGGCGTTTGTTCTGTTTTTCCTTGTCTCACAGCTATGGGTACCGTCACCTATAAAATTGTATCTTGCACGAAAATCAGCACAGAGTAGAGGAGTTGCACAACGGTCCGTATTACCTCAGCCTCCATTTCAGTAAAACCACCTTCACTTTCAGGAGTGATGCTAGTTTATGTCTTTCGATGATCACTTATAGTCGGGGACTTAGACATCGACAAGCAGCACCATGTTGACGGGTATGACTTTGAACTGTATACAATTTCCCTGAATTGTAATAATAATAATAGTATTTAATGCCAGTTTACAGGCATTGTCAAGGAAGCGTTAAACACAAATCCAGCCAGCATTTGAAAAAAAAACAACAGTCAAAAAGGAATAAAAATGAAGTTGATGGTGGTTTTTTATAGTTTGGAGGGTTCAGGAGAAAAAACTGCTGCACATGAAATGCTGACAGTCAAGAAATGTAGGAGCAGCACTATCGGATATTATCAGTCGCCAATTCCTTTCATGAAATTGATGCTGGTGCGAACAGAAGTGCCGAAGAACAGTTGTTACTGTTGGCTAAAGAATTTGTCCATGATGAGACCGGTCATAGAGATCAGAGATCAGGAACGCCATCACTACGGTATAGTCGATCAGTGGATTCAGAACCCAAAATTTGTGGGAGCTTTTCTGAATGCGAAAATTGAGTAATAGTTCTTTAAAAAAATGATGATTTTGCAGATTTTTCACATTCCTGGGTAGTTTATTCCAAATAGCAATTGCATTTACAGAAAAGAACCAACGATATTAAACAGTACGCGTCAGAGTAAGAAATAAAAAGACCTCACTGTGATTGTTACGTCGAGAGTGGACAAGATGTCTTAAAGTAGTGAGTAGGTTAAATAATCAGGCCTTGCGCTATAATATGGCAAAACTAGTACAAAAATTAAATACTCTATGACACACTTGAGGAAACATTGTTCATTTATGAAAACGCAGTGTTTAGTCCGATTATGAGTCACACATGAGGCAAAGAAACCGAGCACAAAAACGTCTTTTTTCCTTTCTTCTTCATTCAGTTCCTAAACAGAAGCGCATCGCCCAACTGAGTCTCGTAGTTCCGTAGTTCCTCGAGCGCAGATAAAACTTCGGATATGCAGATCATTTAGCAAGCAAGGAAGATATGAACCTCGAAGTACGAACGTAAGACCCATACGATATCAAAGGTTTCTGACAACCCTATCATTTGAAAAGCTTGCTTAGTGGGACTCATAAAATCGCCTACCACTGCCCTGTTTGCGTTGTTTGAGATGAAGATAGCGGTTTTATTTAGAGATTATTTGGAAAGGAGTACATTTCTTCAAAATATGTTTTTTCGTTCATACTACAAATGTTATATTATCGTTACGGCCCTCAACTTTTTAAAAAATCCTCAATGGTCTTTTTGCCCACAATTTAACTACTTACTTCTGTCCTACCACAATAGTGCGTCTTAATGTTTCCTTGTTCACAGAGGCTTTTTATCGGATGCGCTCAAGTTCCTGTCACCGTTTTCTCTCCTTCGACTGTTGGACGTTTCTAATAAATCCAAAAACGAGAAAGACAAACACGACGACCGCGTGCTTAAAGGTCTTAGTGCGAACGCTGCCCGAAATCTCGTTGACTTTCGAATAAACGGCCAGAATTTGAGCGCAGAGGATGTATCACGTTTAACCTCTGGTTTTCGAAACAGCATCGTTAACGTCTCTGCGAACACCCTCCCCCTAATTTCCCTTTCTCTAAGCGGAAATACGGTTAAGATTGAGGTACGTTCTATTTGCGGATTATTTCCTGTTTGGAGAAAGCACAACCGATGTTTTATCACCTTATAAATTTGTATACGTTAGTCGAGGTTGTTTGTCGGTTTCCGGTTATGAGATTTTACAAACGCACGTTAATTTATGGGATTGCATAACATTTTCTGCAAGCACGTATTCACAGAACACTTAATACCGTACATCAACTCTACGAAATTTGATATTGGGGAAAACGCCATTACGGTTGACCAACTTGCATATGTTTTTTTTCCAGATGTGAAAGCAGCGTTTTTTGCTTCTGACAGAGGTTAACCTTGTCGCAAGGAAAGACTGCGTGCCGGATGGCGTGACATGGTAGACAGTATGGAGATTTCAGACCGGGGAACTTGACTGCGCTTGTTGATGTAGGACCGAAAATCTAGAGTATCGAAGTTTCAGTCGGTAATCAGATATTTTTGGACCATATTCCGAAACATCTTAACAGATGTTCATCTTGGATTTTTCCAACAGCAACGACAAATGTTTGATGCTCAGCTCTATGCCGCCGCCTGCATTCTTTTCGTTCATTATATCAAATCACATTTAAAGATAAAAAAAGCACTTGGACTATGAAACAGCAAGAAAGCATACGTTGTGTGATCAGCATGCTCTTTGGAGGCCGAGGCCGTAAACGACAAGTTCGCGTATTTTCTGCCCCACACCGTCGAGGATTTGTGGTAGTGTTTTCTTGAACGAAAATTTTTGTAGACCCTCCTTGAAAGATAAAATCGGTCATAAGTTCAATATTAAGATGGATTATCTGGTTGCTTGCCGAAACTCAGGACACGCCTATTGCTTGTCCTTGGGGTTTAGCCAAAGCATAACACCAACCGTGTACAGGTGGCTAGTAGCATGAAACACACCACCTTAGCTAATGGGCCTGCTCTAATTGGAAATTCTAATTCCGTTTGGTCTGCATACCATGACTCCGACATTTTTGCCCTGAATTCTACTTTTTTTGATGATCTTGAAAGAATTATCCTATCTGCTAACTTTCCGCAACAAAGTCATTTCCGGTAAATCCACTCATGTTTCATGCCGCCTACCCTGCAAAAATTTGGTAAAAAAGGGTAAACTTCTAAAGAAATACTTCCTTTCGGATTTGTTTGAATTTTTTGGCAATTATCCATAGGGTTAGTCTTGTTCAATGACTGCATAGGCCGCCAGAGACTTATAATTGAGTGTTACAGTAACTTTTCGTGCGGGCATACTGCTTCTTTCACTTCCGGCTATTCATTTGCACTCAGCTGGGAATGCGGGACAAAATGGCCGTCCCCTGTATCCAAGCACGAGGTGTTATTTTATAAATGACAGAGATTAGACCTTCTTGCCTTCTCAAAAACAAATTTGGTCTCTGCCTCTCTTGAGTCGCCGATGGTGTGATGCGTTAAGTTTTACTAACGCTTATCTTAAATAAGATGCTCGGGACAGTAAGACCGGACCTCAACGAGTGAGTAAACTAGTGGTTTCTGGAAGTTTACAAGAAAAGTGATCAGAGTTCAGAAAACTTGTCGAGGTACTTTTATTGACACTACTTCGGAAGGGCGTGATACTTCTTCGTACCTTGTTTTGAATTTGATAATGGCTGCCAAATGACTTCAAATGTAATCAAACGAGAGCACATTGCGTAAATCCCAGGTAATATAGAAGGTATATCGGTATCTTCAGTAGGTAGACAATGAGTGAAGGCATAAAAAAAGAAATGAATTCAGTACGGTGCAGTTTGGTAACTGGATGGAAGGAGTTTCAATTGCAGAATAACTTGACCTGAAGCAATTGTTTCCAATTCAATCGAGTAATCGTTTTTACGAACGATATCTAAGAGGGGCATTGTACGCAATATTTCTATGCAGCTCAAACATCATATGCTTTAATGTATGCTTTTAAGTTAACCAATGCGAGTTCACCCAGATATGAATCTGTAATTGTCCCAGAATCCTGACAACTGGTATGTGGCCATTGAAAAGCTATTGCATTGCCACAATGCCAATTTGGTTCCCTTTCTTGTAGGACCTTCAGTACCTACTTTCTGTTTCGCCCTACCTGCGAGAACTTCAACTGGACGAATGTCAATTGGACGTTTTTGAGGTGACGTTCATTGTTGTCTTTTGTATATTTCCATTTCTTAAGGAGGTGTTTCCTCGCTTTCATTCTTTATACTGACTAATACTGTTATGAATTCCCGGCTTTTATAAGTCCAAAATTGGTCTCTGAGGCATCGGTGATATTTTGCGTTGGGATCTAGAAGCCTACAGGCCTTTCTTTTATATGCGCATAAGTGAACCGCAAACTCACTCGAGCCTCTAAGCAATTTCCACTGCCCACGTCCCTCCTCATTTTCTTAATATGTCTTCGATGTGGTTTTAGATGTTAGCGGCATGGTTCTTGCCAGACACAGTTAAACTGACCGCAGTACTTCCGCATACCTTTTGATTCTGATAAATATTAAGGAATCTGTTTACAAAACTCCTCAGAATCGACCCTCACAATTTGACTGTGTATTTGTGTCCAGTCGTAGCTATCCTCTGTTCGCCTTTCTGTTCCAACTCTTGTCAGCTATCCACTGGGACGGACTGAGTGCTTTGATAAGTACTTAAGTCGCCAGACCTAACTTGGGTGGGACATCGCGTACTGTCAGCCGCAACCGGTAGCTTACTTAAAAAGTGCTTTTTACTTGACAGTGCTCGATTTCCCCCACTGGTGCCATGTTCAGACCACTAAAGATCCAGTGCCTCGGGTCAGATTATGACCCACTCATTAGGAAAAGTAAGCAAGAAATGACCGTGCCAGCCTCCCCAACCTTTGCTGGCAACACTCCTCATCTATTGTTTGCCATTCCCTGGGCTACCACCCGTGGGTGCTCTAGAGCCCGACCCCCAAGACACGACAACGTCGATCCCTATTTCATCCGGAAATTAGGATATATCGCTCGACTCCTCTCCATAACAACGTTAGTTGACGAAATTCCTGACATATCTTGTAACTCCGGAGAAATCGCGAGCAGATCAGGAACCGGGCCAAGTGAATTCAAAAAAATCACTTTTAAAGAGTAAACGGTGTTTGGCAAAGAGGGGAGGAGTTCAAAATAGTATTCGGTTTTGGGGAAATAAAGTGTCTGACGGAGAGAGCAAACTTCGAGAATTGGCATATGACTGTGTAGTCATTCAATCTAATTTGCTTGTGGGAAGCAGATATGGACAAATAAACAACCAAAACTTAGTATAAACAGTTTTATTCCAACAAGTCCTTTAGCATGAGTGTTCCAGTTGATACAATACACGTGACTGCCAGTCGGATGTTTGATGTTAATTAAGGTTTTGCTAAGGGCAGTTATTTTCGGGCATGCGGTTTCTTGACACTCCATATCTCTTGGCTGATTTGGTTAAAGAGGACGTTGAAGCTCAGCAGGATGCGCTGCTGCGGGCTCACAAGTCCAGGTCACTCACTCCCTTTATGTGCACAGACAAAACATGGTCCTACAAATATTTAAACT